CACTCACTCCCGAATTTCTCTTAATCTTTAATTGCCTTACATATTGGAGCAGGGGAGGGGAACAGAGGTCACATTTCACGGCCTTGAGGATTATGTTAGAAATCAGGAAGAGGCATGGAAGTTTTTGTGAATAATCCCTTCCATCATTGCAACACTAGCCTTTCACATTCACTGATGTCTTTCAATTTAGCAAATATTGTTTTATATTCTATGGGATATCTTTCTGCTGAGTCTTTCTTTGATGCTGTCCTCATTCACCTTGCTTTTGTCCCTCACCCTCAGGGACTGCAGTGTCTTTCAGTCCTTTTACAAAGGAGAGGAGCATGATATTGCTACTCTTCCCTCCTTTTGTTTGCTTGGAAAGTGGCCATCCAGCCCTATAGCTGCAAGGTCTGTGATTGTCTGATTTCACAGTTAATCCTGACACTCTCTTACTGCCTATCTCAAATGTGAAAAGAGAGTTCATAATGCCAGTTTTACCAGAGCTGATTTGGATCGTTCTGCTTCACTGAGCCAACAGAAGGCAAGAGCTCCAATTAGTTATGCTTTTCTTTCCAAAATTAATAAAAAAAAACAAAACCGCAGCTCACATTTTCTCCTCCATACTGATCTGTTAAGTAAAGACTGATTAGTAAAGAGCAGCAACACTTCTGTGCAGAGAAGGGAGTTGCTGTGGTGCGTATCATCTGTATCAGCCAGAAGAGCACTTCAGTTGGTGGGGAGTTTACTTTGGCATGAGACAAGATCAGCCCATCTTATATGCAGGAACATGTACACATTCTTGCATGCATCTCCACACACCCCTGGCACACTTCGACTCGTATGTATTTCTCTGCACTCTTGTGGAAAACAACACCTTTTCTGTGTATGTGAAAATTTATAAAATTCCACTTATTTAATTCTATCATGTAATTAGGTAGCATTGCTCTCCATTCTAGAGATTTGACATTAATTTCAAAAATGGGAAACTGCAGTGCAATAATTCTGATGTTTAATATTCTGGGCTGTGTGAAGGCAAATTGCCCTTCTTGATGGTCAAATTCAAACCCAGTTCTGTAGAGTTTTTAATCATTTGCTTTCCTCCGAATACATGGTTAGTAGCACTGATGTCAGTACAATAAAGGTTGTACATGAGAAAGGATTATTCTACATAACCTGTTATTGCAATATTTATAAAAACTAGTAATTAATAATTAATTGTAATTAACAAATAATAATATCTGATTTGTAAAAAATAAAATGCTAGAAAGCAAAGTCTATTTTTGCTGTGATAAAACATTTTGATAGGTGTATCTCTTTCCATTTCATGCTTTATTTAATTACTTATTAACCCTACTTTTTATAAAGCTTCATGTTTCTTATAAATTGATAGTTTAATATCAAAGTGAAACAAAAACAACTGCAATTTAAACTGCAGTTAATTTGCCCAATTATTGGCAACAACTAATTTTTCTTGAGTGTGCAGGGGATTAAAATAGAAAATACACATAGTAAAATGAGAACACTAATGCAGAAACATTATTTTTTTTTCCTTGCACAAGAAGGGTAGTATATTTTTGGTTTGACATGTAGCTATGCAGTTTAGGCAATCTTTCATTTCAACAAGTACTTTTAAAATAGATTCTCTCTGGCCTTATAGCTATACTAATCTATGAACTTAGCACTTACCTCTACTTAAAATGAAAAGTATGGCTAAGTTCTATGCCCTCAGACACCTTCCCTGCTGCAGGCGCTTCTTCTGCACTTGAAATAGCTTGAAATGCTGTTCTGCTCAGCATCATCCAAGTAGAGATCAAGCTGTTTTGTCTGAGGCCTCCCATTGCTCCTGACACAGGCTGGAAATAATGGCCAGGTTTATTGCTTTGTTATTATTGCTCAAAGGTCAGGCTTCCTGCTCTTTCATCCATTGTTCTGCACTCTCCCGTTCTTATATTTGTTCATCTTGACCCAGCTCACACCTGTGAACTAGATTGCATTTGTTAGATTAAGGGACTGCCTGCCATGCCTCAGAGCACTAAGTAGGACAGTGATCCTTAGAGTAAATGGAGCATGGTATGAAGAAATAGATGCTATTCTCCTCATCCAAGACTGAATGTGCATGGTGTACTTGTTAGACACACCTCTGATACTAATTTAACAGTCCTTCTTAATATGTATTAGGTGCACTCTTCTCCTCTCCAATGACCAATGCACACCATGCAAAGGTCAAATTTACTTCATTGTATTCCATGTAGGTCACAGCTTTGGGCAGTGCAAGCAGGCAAATCTTTAAACTATTTTTAAGTAGTATTTAAATGTTTAGTTTCTCTACTTGGAAGCATCACAATGAGAAAGTTTTAAATTTTGAAGCTGCCATTACAATTCTTTTGTAGCTTTAGGAATACTTAGCAGTTCAAAAGGCCTATCAGATGTAGTCCATCACCTTCAACTCTGGTATAAACACGATCGTTTTCAAAGCAATCCAATAGATTTAGACATATGGTATGTACTTAATTCTGGTTTTGAAAATCCCAGCAGAAACCACAGACATGTCTGTACAGGTAAAGGAATTGTCCAGAGATAGGTCTGTCCTATCCAGAGACTGCTGTACAGTCGGGCAAGGATCATTGCCAGGGACACTGCAAGGCACTTGGCAGCTCTCCATGATTTCTGATGGTCTTCTATGTTGCAAGTCAGATTCTCTGTGTGGCCTTTTGTAAGGGAGCCAAGAATTGTTCTAATCTACAGAACACATCAAGATTACAAAACCGAATAAATATCTCTCTTTACTGCAGCACATCCAGGGGAGAGAATACTGAGCCCAAACCAAGGCCTCAGCTCCTAAAATTCTCTGGTCATGGAAGTATCTTTGTTTCACTGAGCTTTTTATAGAAATAAAAAGAAATTGAGTGTTATGAAGAAAAGAAATGAAACAAGTAGTATGCTGCATGCTGTGGCATCATCCCGAAGTCTGCAGAAAGGGCATGAGCCTAAGTGTTGCCTCCCACTCACATCTTGTTATAAGACTGGCCTGCCACTATTCTGCAGACAGCTGATGGACATGCTGTTTGCCTTCAGGCATGCTAAAGCTTTTGACATGTTTAAATGTACAGACATCTTGTGCATCTTGTGCCTAAGGCAGGATCAGCAGTCTTGATAACTGTCCAGCCCACAAGCCTGGTCCTCAAGAACACCATTAGGACAAAGTATGGATGTGCCACCTGTTTCAGCTCTTTCTAGGTGGAAACCTACTGTTCTCTGGAGGGAAGAATAGTTTCCAGCAAGTGGGAAGGAGGTATAGTATTACTGAGAGTGCTTACTGGTCAGAGAAGAGAGATGGTACTCAGTAGGAGAGAGAGAACAGTCAATATCAAGATGACCAACATGATGAAGCCAAAGTGATGATGACTATTAAGACTGATTGAAGTCCTGAGGAGTAGAATCATAGAATCACCAAGGTTGGAAAAGACCTCCAAGATCATTTAGTCCAACCATCTGCCTATCACCAGTATTTCCCACTAAACCATGTCCCTTATTTCAACATCTAAATGTTTCTTGAACACCTCCACCACCAGGGATGATGACTTCACCACCTCCCTGGGCAGCCTCCTGACCACTCTTTTGTAGACGAAATATTTACTGACATCTAATTTGAGGCCTATTGCTAGTTACGCAGGAGAAGAGACTGACCTCCTCCTCGCCATAACCTCCTTTCAGGCCACTGTAGAGAGCGGTAAGGTTTCCCCTGAGCCCCTTCTCTTCTCCAGACTAAACAATCTCATTTCCCTCAGCTGCTCCTCATAAGTTTTGTGCTCCAGACCCCTCACCAGCTTCATTGCCCTTCTCTGGACATGCTCCAGAGCCTCAATGTCTTTCTTGCAGCAGTCAGCCCAAAACTGAACACAGAACTCAAAGTGCAACCTCACCAGTGCTGAGCACACGGGGATGATCACTTCTCTGCTCCTGCTGGCAACACCTTCTCTGATAGAAGCTAGAATGCCATTGGCCTTCTTGGCCACTTAGGCAGTAATAGCAGTGTTGCCTGGAAGGAGACCAATCACTTTATGGTTCACTGTGGGGTTCCTTAGCACCATTTTTTTGGGATGAGTTTGACTTATGTAATGATACTGAGGCCCTTTAAAAGTATTGAAGGCCATATTAAGACATTATAAAAACACACAGGGCTAAATATCCATGAAGTTTTAAGTAATGAGTGGAGACATTGGGTGGGAACAGGGAAGTCTCTCTCTCCTTTTGTATTTTAATGAAATGTAATATTCACTGGCAGTCTGATCTTAGTGTGAATTAAGGATCTGTTTTGCTTTTGGTGGCAACTTGTGAAAATAATGGGATGCACTGGTATCTTCATTTCCACTACACCAGCACACAACTGTTCTGCTGCTATTATTAGTCCTGTGCTGTTATGTCACTGTCATACTGATGTGTTGCCATCACTTCTCTTTGTGCACACTGCTTGCTAAATCTACTGACAGGGTAGGCAAGAGGTAGGATTTGTGGACTTCTCTCCCATAGAAGCCCCTGTGCAATTTGTTCCACAATATTATGCTCCTTTGGCCCAAAGAGCCTTTGTTTCTTCTCTTGAAAACCCAGTATCCTGGCCTGTCACTCCATGTCCTCCTCTCCTAGATGGAGACATCTGCCAGATGGTCCCATTACATGAGATGGGGAAGCTGGTCTGACTCTGCCGCTTCAGGTGCTGTCCCGAATCAGTCCAATTGGAAACCCACAAGTCCTGAAAATACGCTTAGAAATGTGGGGGCTCATTTATTTGGTCAGTAAATGCATACTGCTGGAGCAGAGATTTAGGGAGAAAAAATAGCTTTTACATAGTTCTCCCACCTGCCTTCCTCCAAGTTTTTGCTGCAGGGTAAAGCAGTGAATGGTATCACAGTCTGTCCTTGGGCTTGGCAGGTCGAGAGGCACCTGCTCTACTGCTGACATGTGTTTGGAGCCAGCAGCCTCTGCCTTTCCTATCATGTCTTGCTCTGTTTCCCTTGCAGGAACCTGTGAAATCGGCTGGGCTTACTACTGCACAGGTGGGGGTGCGGCAGCAGCCATGCTGGTGTGCACCTGGCTGGCCTGCTTCTCAGGCAAGAAGCAGAAGCAGTATCCCTACTGAGCAGCCCCGGGTGCGGGCAGCCGCCAGAAGCACAAGGGGCCTGCAGGTGTCTTCTGGACCACAGTGACAACAAAAAGGAAAATTTTAAGTGCTTTCATTCTGAAACTCAGTAGGATGGGCTGGTGGGTGGCACTGGGAGCCCTGGGGAAGGAGGTGAACCATGGACCAAAGCCACTCCACCAGGCAGGCTGGGGAAGGACCTCCTCACCAGAACCTGCCTGTGGCCCACCCCACAGAAATATAACCACGTAAACAAGGAAAACTCCACTTTGGCAAATTGTGACATTCTGCGTGCACCAATTAATGGAGGGATTAGTGAGAAAAAGATGTTGCTGGGAGGCTGGGGTAATGCCCCTGCAATGCGGTGTTCCCAAAAGCACACACACACAGATGTTGACCATGGCACAAAATGAGTAGAGAGGAAGAAACCTTTTTGGTGCGATTCTTCTTTCTTTCTTTTTTTTTTTAAAAAAAAACTTCTTTTTGGTGGTTTAAATTTCAGTGTTAAAACACTTTTTAATCTATTCATTACACCTAATAAAAGGACCAATAAGCCACTTTATCAGTATTTTGTATGTTCTCTTCTCTGCACATTTCTCTTCCTCAAACATTTAGCCACTGCTTATTCATCCTTATAGATCTTTTATTAAGCCTCTGTGTTTCAGCATTATTACAAAAATGCAGCATAATAACTTGGCAGATGTAGCCGTTGCCTATAGTACTTTTATGAAGTGCAGTAAATGGGCATTTTTCTGTCCATTGAAAATTCCACTTAACGGTACTGTAGAACTCTGTTGGTTGTGCTAGACTGACAGGGAACTTATTACAGACATAGATTTTTGTCTCTGTTATGTTTAGCTCATTGATGTCGTATTGTGCTGTACCATGTTTATTATTTCAATATTCATTTTTGTAAAAAAAAAAAAAAATTATATATAAATGTGCTATTTTATGTTTGTATTTGAAAAATCTCTGTAAATAAATTTTTCCTTGATCAATACTTGCAATTTGTGGTTGTGTCACGAGATGAAAGAATTCCCTTCTTAGATGCCCATTTAAAAAAATGTCTTGGAAATAATCAGCTTTTAAACCATACTGTATCTTTTTTTCCTTGTAAAACACAAAACACATGCATTTAGGATTCATCTGCACAGCCTGAGGATAGATATCTAGCACTTAAGACAAGCCAGCACGTCCGACATTTTTGCCTGATGCTGTTAGGTATGGTGTAGGACATCACAGAGACCTTCTCCATTCTGGCCTGGACACAGCATTTCACACAGTATTAGTATCCCTTTTAGTTGACTGAAACAAACCCTTACTATTTTAATAGCAGCCACTATGACTAAAATGCCTACAAGGGAGTAGTCCCCCCGTGAGGTACTGGCACTGTGTTTAAAAAACTAAAGACCTCTTAGAATCATTAAGAAAAATAATATTAAATTGAGATATGGGAATTTTTAAGGGGTTTTCAGTCATAGTACTGACTGTTGTTGCTGCCATTCAAATGTGTTTTTCTGCCCTGTTTTCCCAATATGATATTTCTGTCATTGCCTGTTTCAAAGCTATTGTGTGTATACTAGTTATGGTTCTGCTGGTTAGTAGCATATGTGCTGTTGTAACTCTGAAACTCGACAATTGCTCTGTACATTGCACTAGGCAGCTTTTCAGAAGTGCATAGAATAGCAATGTCAGTTACAGTGATCAGTCCTTACATTGATGAACTGGATTTTATGTAAGTTGATTACAGGCTACGTACTATTTTTCACTTTATAGTGTTGTGTGGTGAATAAAAAATTGTACCTTATCCTTCTCAGATTAGCCCATAATAGCCACATCACATCCAGCTGCAGTTCTGATGAGAACCACACCAACCATGGAGGAGCAAGTGAGCTTGTCTCTCTGCAAGCTCTTCTTGCAGCACCAGCAGCAGTAGGATGCAGAGCACTACACCCTTTCCTCCTGCTTCCAAGTTTTCTGGGCTCATCCCTTCTTAATAAACTCTTCCAAAACCTGCTGGTGGAAATCAGTGACATTCCATATACTATCACAGTAAGTATGAATTTACCTCACAGTACTGTAGATAGATGCTTTATTAAAACCAAGAGTGGTATAAACACAACGCTGGCTGTGGTTCTCTTGGCTTGAGTTGGATCCTTGGCAAATTTCTCTTGCTGCCTTTCCATGGTGTGTAACTGCAGAAAGATGTCTTCTATTCCTCTGAACCTGCAGTTTGCTCTATAAATATAATCAGTATAAAAATATAAGTTATTACTTTCATGTTGACCCTCCCTACATTAGTTCCTTGTTGCTGCAGCATGGAGATCATATTGTCTTGGTTTAGAACTTCCTGTGGTCAGATTCTGGTATGATTTATATTGAGAAACTGAAACTATGTGGTTATTTCATGAAGAAAATTACTTTTTTTGTTTTGTTGTGTTATAATGCCATACAATACATCATGATTGACTTTCTTTGAATCTGTATACAATCTCCTTTTTAATTTGGAATTGACTAAAATACCAATTTTGAATAATCAAGCCAATGATAAATGCTGCATCTGTGCTATAGCTGGTTATCATATAACCTTCATCTGCTGTGATATGAATCACAGCTTAATCAGGTTTGTCCATACTTGTGTATTTTGGTTCTGATAGTCATTTTGCTCTAGAATATGAATACCATATATTATAGCTATCAGGCATCAGAGCTACAAACTCCAATAACTTTGAACCAGACAAAAGACTGCTTTCAATTTCACCATATTAATTGTCAATTAAATATTTACAATATTTACTATGTTTAATTTTCCATTTATTTGTTCTTGAAGATGAGGAACATGGTCTTTCATTTGTCAAAACAATCATGAAAACATGGGCAAGCTCCTAGGCTATTGAATTTTATCCCTGCCATTACTGGCAATTGTATCATGTAATCCTGCTTACAAATTTATCAAGCTCTGTTTTAAAACTGTTTAAACAGTTTTCCCTCTGAAACTATATTATTATTTTGAAGTCTCACTCTCTGTGTGATTTAATGTTTTCTGAGTTCCAGAGCACCCTTTATACTGAGGATAATTCACAGAATGGATGGCAGTGGTCACAGGATGCTTCCAAGAAATACTCTATGGGAAGAAAGTTTTACCCATCATTCCTAATCCAGGAGCTATATAGAAAAAAGTCGTATGGTTACAGATTGCTGTTCAGTATGAGAATCTACCTTAGGATAAGTCACAGGATAGTTGCTGCAGGACAAATCAGGTGGAGGGGGACCTTGAGGAGATCTCTAGTCCAATGTACTGCTTAAGGCAGGGACAGGTGTCTCAGGGTTTTATCTCATCTGATCATCAAAGCCTTTAAACTGATGATGGTACATCTCTTGGTGGCCTGTGCTGCTCCCAGACTGTCTTCATGGGGAAGAATTTTTCCTTATAACCAGTCGGAACAGCTCTTGTTTCAAATAACAACCAGTGTCTCTCATTCTCCTACCAAGCATCAGTGAGAAGAGCTCATCTCCATCCTTTCTGTCACCTTTCACCAAACTGAATAAACATCAAACATGGCTGCTTCTGTTGGACCTACTCCAGTTTGCTGATGTCTTACTTCAATCAGGTGGGCAAAACTGGATGTGATATCTACATGTGCTGATTAGAGGAGGACAATCGCTTGCCTACAGATGCTGGCCCTACACCTCTTAGTGCAGTCCAAGAGGCTGCTGCCCATTGTTGATGCCAGGACATGCTGCTGGCTCCTGTACTGCTCACTGTCCCCAGGCTCTGAGATCCTTTCTGCAGAGCAGCTTCCTGGCCAGGCAGCCCCAAAATACATCACTGCAGGGGTTTCTTCCATCCCAGGTGCATGACTTGGCATTTGCCCTTTCTGAATTTCATAAGATTCCTGTCATTCTGTGACCCCAGTCTGCCTCAGTCCTTCTGAATGGCAGCCCTGCACTTAAGTGTGTTATTAACTGGCCTCCCCATCTCGATGTCATCTTCAAATTTGATGAGAGCACTTAACCTCCTCCAAGTCATTCATAAGGCCATTAAACTGAGCAGGTCACGAGACAGACCTGTGACAGCCCACTTATCACAGACATCCACGTAAAGTTCAACCAGTAACTAAGACTCTCTGAGCCTCACCATACAACTAGGCTTTTCCCTGGTTGATTGTCCACCCAGTGGACAATACACTGACATTGCACAATGCACTGACATTTGCATCAGTGCAAATTACATCTACTGCAGCTCCTCCCTCAGTTGCAAATTCAGTCGTTTTATCATATAAAACCACCATGCAGGTCATGTAGAATTTACACTAGATAAATGCATGCTTCAAGTCAGCAAAACAAATGAAAATAAAACTTTGGGTCCCAGCTGCCTTTCTGCACTTAGCTTTTGCTTTGCTTAGCTAAATATAGAACAATGGTTATCAGCTAATCTCCAAATATGCAAGGTAGAAAAAAAAAAAAAAAAAGAGTATGGAGGTAGGGAATTTATATATAAATTTGAATGAGGCAAGTGGAGGTGGAGAAACTTGGTGCAATAGATTATTTAGAAAAATGGATTCAGGAGGACACAGTTTGAGTAGGAAGTTCTCGCAGTGGAACCCTGGAGAGCTGGGAACTTTTGTCACTCAAACAGCACGGTGTGCAGTCCCAAGCCTCTTGCCCTGAGGACTAATGCAGTATTCTCTGAAAGTGCAAATTCTGTCATGCAGATATTAAGTCCAAGAGAAGATTTTCTGCATAAATATGAGGCATGAGAAGGACTTGTCGGGATTTTAAGAGGGCATTATGTTCTTTGTGTAAAATAAGCCATTATTTTTCAAAACTTGCATGTTGAGAAATGAATCCGTTTTTCACTAAGTGTCATAGAATTTGTTCCTTCCCAAAATACATATGTATGTTTGTGGAGGAAAAAAACTAAACTTCAAAAATATTTTGACTCTGAAATGAGAGTTAGCTGGTTTCTGAGGTGGCTTAACTCCTCTATTTCCTTTTTCTTGATAGAAAATTCATAAATCAGTTGCAACTGCGATTTATCTGTCATTCTAGAGTTTGAAATAGTCTATGAAAAATATCAAACTGAATGACAGGACAGATAATCTATACATCAAAATAAGCATTAATTCTATTCTACACACTTAACCTTTCAGAGAGACCATGGAGAAATTAGATGTGTCTTTTTTTAGAAGTGACATTTTAGTGTAATACCCTAAGCAGACAGAGTTTAAAATGCCTTCTAGTAAGTATTCAGTGTTTTTATTATTGTTATTTAAATAATGATGGATCAGAGAAAATGATGAAAAATTTGGAACATGGTTTCAAATTCAGTACTGTCAGTGTCAGGAAGGATGGCTGCTGATTAAACTTAACTCAGTAGCCTTTTCTCATGTTCCTCACCAAGAAACAAAATGTTCTCTGAATTTTTGAGGGAGGAAAGGCTTCTTACATGGGCAATTTT